GGGGGGGCTTTCTTTTTCTATTACCTTTTCTCTAAATAAGCTAATAAAGGCTGATTAGTTGATTGTAATTGAGAGGTATTTGCTTTTTCTTGATATGCTTCTGACTCTATGGTAAACTTGCTACTGCAATTAATGTTGTTATTACCTATGTTGCTCGGACTCTCCGAAAATGTCCATGAGTGCGTTTCGGATCCTCCAAAAATAGTGTATTTTCGAAAGATCCGACACGGGTGCGGCAGCTGTTTTAGAGAGTCCGCGCAACATTGGTTATTACTCATTTGAAAGTTAAAGACCGAGTATAACTCCAAGTGCATTTGCTATTTTTCTATTTCTTTTTTCTAGATGTGAGTTACTTATATTTAATTTTCACTTTTTTCTTCCCTTAATTAGAAGCTGCGAACCTAACTTCTCTGATGTAGGACCTCTTTTAGTGTTCTCTTTTTTCTGCCTAATATCTCTAGTTTCTCTGTATGGCTGTCAAATGAATTGAACTTTCATAGTTCAAGAGAAATGAGGAAAAAGAAAGAGTTCCGCTTGGTTGGCCTTCCTACGCTGACGAATGCCTCTTTTCTCTTCTCGGAAATCTACAACAAACAAGTGGGAGTGGGAGGATTCGAACCTACATAAAAAAACTTAAACAGATTTACAGTCTGCCGCTTTTGACCACTCGGCCACTCTCCCCTTCCCGGGCTGAGGGCCCCCTCAATGGGTTCTAATTCTAAGAAGGCCTATGAATTAGTTCCAAGAAAGCGGCCATTCACGTCAGGAATAGAGGCCGTTAAGGATGTACTTGCTTTTCCTTTTTTTCATAGAGATTGGGTTGGTTAACTTTTTTCTTAACTAATGTAATTTATTGCTATATATGGAAATTATGTGTTGGTGAAGAGAAGAGAATGTTATTAGAGATGAATCCTCTGCGATTCCGGGATTGTTAACTTTTTTTCTTAACTAATGTAGTTTATTGCTATATATGGAAATTATGTCTTGGTGAAGAGAAAGGAATGTTATTAGAGATGAATCCTCTGCGATTCCGGGATTGTTAACTTTTTTTCTTAACTAATGTAGTTTATTGCTATATATGGAAATTATGTCTTGGTGAAGAGAAAGGAATGTTATTAGAGATGAATCCTCTGTGATTCGGGGATTGTTAACTTTTTTCTTAACTAATGTAGTTTATTGCTATATATGGAAATTATGTCTTGGTGAAGAGAAAGGAATGTTATTAGAGATGAATCCTCTGCGATTCCGGGATTGTAGAAACTAAGTATCAAGTTTAGAAACCCTTGAATGTTATTATCCGGAGAATGATTCCCGAGATGGATGATAATAGTTTGTGTCTTGCCCATTTTCATGAGCGTCTTCGTATTTTGCTTTTGCTCTTTTTTGCTTTTTCATAAGTAGATGTGCATTCATTTATACTTTCTCGGCATATTTCTTTCTAATTGTTCTCTTATCTTAACAGCATTATTATTAATTAGTATGTGCTTTGACTGATCATGTTTCCCATTCTTGGCAGGTTCTGTTAGTTATATAGGTTTTGCTGACGAATCACGCAGTAGCAAATCTTTCTCTAGCTCTTTAGATTTAACATTGTCATTCGCTGCTGAAAGAAGCGCTACTCCTTGAGATATTGTGACTACATGTAGTTGAGAGAGATTTGCTAATCTGGATGTACCTCCTTCACTGAGATAGCTTTCCTCTGAAAGGGTTGTTTGAAATCACTCTTCATCTTCTTAATCATTTTGATATTCCAGATGCAAGCATCCCAACGACCTCAAATGTCTGGTGGCGTCCATGGATTATACAATCAGCCAATGCAGCAAGTTGAGCAATATTACGCCCCTTACCATTTCAAGAACAACAATTGCAATAATACTAGCTCAGTGACACAGTTTGCTTTTCAGACACAGAATGAACATTTCTTCACTCTGGACTCATTGCCGGCTACTGACTATGTTGTATACGATTCACCTCCTGCCTTAAGCGTCTCTTCCAACAGGAGTCCCTTCTCGCCGCAATGTTCACAGTCATACATGTCTGATCTGCATCACTCCTCTGATAACAACACTTGTGGTTCACCTTTCAGTGGGTGTTCAGGAGTTGATGATGGTGACCTGAAACATGTGCTTCGGGAGCTGGAGAATAAATTACTGGGGCCTGAATCTGATACTGACGACAGCTGCAGTTGCTCCTTCAATGATGTGGTCTCGAAACCTTCTTCCTTCACAAGGTGGAACCGAGTGTTGGACATGGCTCCTAGCTTGAACTTGAAAGAGTTGCTCGATGCCTGTGCTGAAGCAGTGTCTGATGCTGATATCTCAACTGCTGAAATTCTTATGAATATTTTAGAGCAAAGGGTGTCAGTCTCTGGGGAACCTATGGAACGATTGAGTGCATACGTGTTGGAAGGGCTTAGAGCACGACTACTGTCGTCAGGAAGCATCATATACAAAAAATTGAAGTGCAAAGAACCAACTAGCTCAGAGTTATTGTCTTATATGCAAGTCATCTATAACATGTGTCCATACTACAAATTTGCTTATATGTCTGCAAATGTCGTCATCAGGGAAGCCATGACGAATGAGAACAGAATCCATATCATTGATTTTCAGATTGCACAGGGAAGTCAGTGGATGTTCCTCCTCCACGATCTTGCTCGTCGGCCTGGTGGACCCCCATTTGTCCGCATCACAGGTGTGGATGATTCCCAATCAGCTCATGCACGAGGTGGAGGACTTCAGCTAGTAGGCGAAAGGCTAGCAGCAGTTGCCAAGTCATGCGGAGTACCTTTTGAATTCCACGGTGCTGCACTATCAGGCTGTGAGGTCCAACTAGAGAACCTTCGGGTTAGACATGGAGAAGCACTGGCGGTAAACTTCCCTTTCATGCTGCACCACATGCCAGACGAGAGCGTAAGCACGATCAACCATCGAGACCGCCTATTAAGACTAGTTAAGAGTTTGTCCCCCAAAATTGTGACCTTAGTTGAACAAGAATCGAACACCAACACCGCCCCTTTCCTTCCAAGGTTCCGTGAAACTCTTGATTACTATACAGCAATGTTCGAGTCAATTGATGCAGCTCGCCCTAGGGATGACAAGCAGCGGATCAGTGCAGAGGAGCATTGTGTGGCACGGGACATTGTCAACATAATAGCATGTGAGGGGGCTGACAGAGTGGAAAGGCACGAACTTTTTGGAAAGTGGAGGTTGAGACTTATGATGGCTGGATTTACTCCATGCCCATTGAGTCCATCAGTTGGCGAGACCATCAATGACATGTTGAAGGAGTACAGCCCAAATTACAGGTTTGCAGAAAGCGAAGGGGCACTCTATCTTGGATGGAAAAATAGAGCTTTAGCAACTTCTTCTGCCTGGAGATGACAACTTGTTGCCTACTATTGTCAAACATCTGTAAATTTTTGCCATATGATCTCGACGTTTATCTTTTGTTGAAGACTAGAAGAGTGTTTTTAACCCTTTTCGTTTCATATACAGAGCTCGGAGTATGAAATCTTAGGTTTGTACATGCCAGCACAGGGAGGAATATCGCGAGTCAAAAATAGATTCCATGTCTCAACATCTGGCTATTGTCATTTTCTCCATGTTTGTTGGCTTTTCTGAACTAGATCTTGAGCTCTATCTGCTAATGTTTGTAACATGAAATCCAGTTTCAGCCTCTTCTAAGTACAAGGTTTCTTGTTTTTTTGTTTCCCTTTATGTTTGTATGCTTTTCTTTAGTTGTACATTTCTCTTAGCAGTTTAAATGGTGTAGATTGAGTGCCACCTTGGGCTGAAAAATGTAATATTGCTCTATACGAAAAATTAGGGGTGTGCATTCGAATCGGTTTATCGATAAGTCGAATCGATTATTTGTTATTGGTTTATCGATTTATCGATTTCAATTTCGAAATTTTCTTTATCGAGTTATCAATTTCGATTTCGATTTTGTCATCTTCGGTTATCGGTTTATCGATAAACCGATAAGATATACTAAAAAAACAAATATACCCTTATTTTATAATACCCTTTCCTTTACTCTAAGTCCCTAATCCTATTATTTCCTTTACCCATTCTTCAGTGCCGCTTTTATCTTTCTCCCTCTCTCCCGCGAACTGCAAACCCAGCAGAGAAAGTGAACTCCGGTGTACTCTGGTGCACTCTGGCGACTTCAATAGTACGTTTCTCCCTCTCTACCACATTTAAGGAATGGTCATATTTAAAGCTAAAGGGAATGAAGTTCAAATTAATGGAAAACAGAATTGGTGGCATACATTTGATCCCTTACTTTAGTTTTGTTGCATGTCCTTGTTGACACAATTTTTATGTTATAAACGGTGTTCGTCTTATTTTAGCTTCTTTTTGTCCATATTAGTTAGGCGTGTTTATAGCGATATACTTTCCGTCGAATCCCGCAAATTTTTATTAGTGTAATCGATAACCGAATCGATAAGCCCCAAAAATCGAAAAAATCGAAACCTTATTGAAACGATAACGATAAGCATATACAAATCGATAATCAATAAGTAATTATCGATAAGGGTCAAAATCGAATCAATAAATCGAATGTACACCCCTAAAAGATAATGTTAACGAACAAGAAAACAGATGTGCTGTTGGTTCAAATTTGAGCAAAGAAATAAAATATTAGGCGATTTCTTTCCGTCCGCTCCCATTGGGGGTAAAATTACTTTGTGCCTGTGCTGTTGAGATGCGCGCAAACTTCTTTTGGACACAACCAAATTTTAGTAGTACAAATATTTGAGAAGACATATTGGAGGAGGCATCCAATTGATAAAGGGCAGCCCGGTGCACTAAGTTCCCGCTATGTTCGGGGTTCAGAGAAAGGTCGGACCACAAAGGTCTACCATAAGCAGCCTTACCCTGCATTTCTACAAGAGGTATTTAATTGATTTTTCACAAATAATACTTACTTTCTCCCCGAAAAATAGCCAAAAAAAAAAGAAAGGAAAAGATCATATTTGGGACAAAGAAAAAGAAGGCAAAACCTAGAAGGAAATAGGGGTATTATCATTTTTAGCTAGCGCAAGAAATTATTTATATCTGGTAGCCAAAAAAGTGTATAAAATTTGTATATTTTTGTATATAACATATAAAATGTATATATATACAATTTTATACATTTTTTCGACTATTAATTTTACATCAGCTATACAATGTCATTTTCTCTAGGAAATATTAGTAATTTATGTATAGCAGATTTTACTGAATACAAAATTTAGATGAGGACTGAGTAATTGATTAATAGTCAGTTACAAATGTAAAAAGCAAGCCAAATGGATTTACATCCCCAACTTTCGCATAAAAACAGATTTTTTTTTTGTTCCATTTGTTTAAAGGTGGCAAATTCTAATTTTTTAAATTTATAAACCTTTAACAAATAACCAAAAATGGCGTTTAAAAGATTTTGTTTGTATTTTTTTTCTATTAATGAAAAAAAAAAACAGCTCAGCTTTCTTTTCTATCTATTCTTAAAGTCTGAAATTACAAATCCCTCTCTTCACTCACCATTAACACAGATAGGTCTTTCAGTCCCTATCAAAAGAATTAATTTTTATTTATTTATTATGATCTTTTTCAAATAAAGAATCCCCCCCCCCCCCC